GCTGTCGAGCATTAACTCAGCCTAGCCCCACATACCTGTACCCAACCAGATAACCCAGGTGCCCCTATTCCAAGACAACCTGGTTTGACAGAAACATACTACAGTCACTTTTAAATCACGTGTAACCCTTTTATTTGTTCAACTGGCCCTCATGAACCTACACCGTACACCAATGTTAACGGGGCCCTGAAGAACACAAGTAACAGAAAGAAAAACCCCAAAACACTCAAAAAAATAAAGAAATCCAATAAAACAAATAAAACAGGCCGTTATTCCCCAAAGTGGTGAGTTCTCACCCCCCTACCGAAAAAGGGCCCAACCATCACAATTCAGAAAACCAATGAAAGGTTAACACAGAAACTCTCTTATTTAGGATGGTTAACACAGCTTTACTTCTTTAAAGTAAAAGTCTGATCCAGTGTCAGCACCTGCAAATCTGAGGCCATGATCCTCAGCTGGAAAAGTGGGGGAACTCCACTAGATGGGAGAAAAGGATTCTTTTGAATGACACATATCTGGGTAACCTAGGCAACTAGAGCAATGTTGGTACATGTTGGTATTGTGAGAGATGGAATGTATGTTATTATCTACCCATTTAAAATAACATTCATGTGCTTTTTGGGAGGAATCCAGAATAGAAAGGCTCAGGAGATTTAAATCTGAGAGTTTGTCTTTCTTGCTGTGAGGGGACTGTGCATACAACTATAAAGTTCTATACTAAAATACAAAAATGGAGTAGTTGTAATTGTATTAAAAATTTAAAACTTATGGGGCAGTACTTTTTAAATTCATTATTTATCTGAGAAAATTAGTTACTTTTATGTCAATAATATAAATTGTAGATTATACAGAAGCAGAACAGAAGACCTTGGTTAATTCACCAAACATATATTATAAACTATTTTGATAATTATTCATTATTCATAATTATTATGCACATCATCTAAAGTGTTTTGTTTTTTGTTTTGTTTTTTTGCAACAAGCAAACATGCTCTGCAACTTGTGTTGCTCTAATGGGGCGCCAGCCACAGAAGCCGTGTGGTTACTGTGTTTCATTGAATAGGAAGTGCATTTAATTACTCTGGATGTATGATTTTTCAGCTGCCACATTTACCAGCTGGTTATCCATTATTCATATGGAACAGAAGAAAGAGACTTTTTGAGTAGGACCATTCAGCTGCTGAGATGTTGTTTGTTTGATTTGATTAATGAAACAATGCAAAGGTTAATTCTGGGGGGGGGGCAAGAACGAGAGGTTGAGATTTTTAAATGAAGTCAGTCCAATTAGGATGAGAGATGGATAGATGGATGGATGGATGGATGGATGGATGGATGGATGGATGGATGGATGGATGGATGGATGGATGGATGGAT